GAACGAATGGGGAAGCAGTTTCCCATGTTTACTATTCACTGGTGGTTTGGTTGACAAAATTTCATCCAAATTCACAATGGGCAACATCAGTTCTTGTTGAATGATCTTCATCATGTGATGATATATTTTTCATTTCATTAGGTATATGCAGAGTTTTCGAACTTCCTACACGTCAGTCTTCATGTTGCTCTACCACGGAGAGGGTGTGCTTTATTCTCTGATCGATAAACTTCCCATCGAATTACACATTTCAGGCTACAGATTTTGTGGTCCAGGTACCAAACTCGATAAAAGACTTGCAAGAGGAGACACCGATATCAATCCGTTGGACGACGCGTGTCGAGTACACGATATCGCCTATTCACAAAATTCCTCAATAGAAGACAGGCACAAAGCTGATTGGATATTGGAGAATAGAGCGTGGGAGAGAGTCAAGTCGAAGAACGCTAAATTCAAAGAGAAGGCTGCTGTTTGGCTTGTCACCACCGGAATGAAGGTCAAACGAAACGAGTACCAAGAATCATACCTCTTTCACACAGTGGCGGTATATTACCATCGATACCAATCTTTGCCGCCTTGGGGGCCCTAGGATCTCTAGCTGGAGGAGCCGGAGCAGTCGCAAAGACAGTCATTTATGCGAAAAAGGCAAAGAAAAAGCTCGAGGAAGATCAAAGACATAATAGAGCAATGGAGGCTATCGGCAAGCAGGGTTTCGGCCTATTTCTACGCAAAACATCGAGAGGATTCGGACTGTACTTGGAGAAACAATCAAACAACTCAAAAAACAGACAAGCTACCCAATAAATCAATGTACGATAAAGATGTGATAAAGTATGCCAAACAGCTGAAAATACCGTATTTTCGAGGTGTTTTTATGCGGGACACTCTACCTTCCACCGGTCCATGGCATCGCGAGTGTGCTGTATTGAATTTGGATACTGCCAATCATGCGGGCACTCATTGGGTGGCTTACATGAAAAATGATAAGAAAGCCTTATATTTCGATAGTTATGGCAATCTGAAACCGCCCAGAGAATTGGCTCAATATTTGGGTACCGGCACGAAAATCATGTAGTATCTGGGAAACTATCCATCGTAGGGACTTGTGACAAAAAAATTTATTACTAAAACGCCCAAGAGAAAAACCTGGAAAATATTTTCAAGTTTCTCAAATGACCGCTAGGGTGCGTAACTGCAATCTTGAATCTAAAAAGTGATTTTTCGATGAATTCCGCTATATTAACCTAACAAAATAATACCTGATTTTCATTGTCGATGAAAATGTGAACCTTTTTTGTTCGACAATTTCTGCTGTATCTCTAAAAATAAAGTGGTGGGGGGTATTCGAAAGTTCCTGTAAAAAACACCCTGTATCTTCGAAACGGCTTAGCCGATTTTGACAAACTTGAACAAGTTGAAAAGAGCAATTCTTGGGTTACAAATTTTATAATATTTGAAGTTTTGTAAGTTGCACATGTTGCTGCTAGAGGGATTTTTTCGACATTCAGACAGAAATAGTTGATTTTCTCAAAAAAATCAAATGCATCGGTATGATTTTTTTTCCATGGAAAGGATGCTTAATGATGCCTAAAGAAGCTCGCGAAAACCGCATCTCGATATCTCATTCCTAATCTAAAATTGAATCCAAAGAAAATTTTATACGGAAATCCATTGAGTTTTTGTTTTTGTAAACTAATTCAATTTTTTCTACATTCATGCAAAAAACAGAACTTTATTGAACTATATTTAGTGGAAAAAGAAGTTCTTCATTGCACTTAGTGCAATAAAGTTTTCATTGCACTCATCTGTATTTCTACTTCAACGTGCTGTCATCATGACAAACATTTTCTATAATGCAACTGTGGTTATAGAAACGTCAGTCAGAAATTAATTCCGACAATTAACAGAATTGTACCTAGTGCCGCACCTCAATAAATCATTTTTTGCTTTTTGCATGAACGTAGAAAAAATGTTGTATGCAACTCGTGCAAAAATTGTTTATTGCACTCGACGTGTTGTCCAACTCGGCCTAACGGCCTCGTCGGACAATTTCACGTCGAATGCAATAAACATTCACTTTTTGCACTTGTTGTATAAATAACTATTAAATACTGTCTGTAGGTTAATCGAGGAGGTGGTACATTCATTTCACTTGATTTTTTGGGATTTTCTCCTCGTTTCTATACAATAAAAATATGCGTATTATTTCAATATAGTTGTAGTGGGACAAATCAGATGATTTGCCTCAAAATGTCACTGCGTTCACCAAATTTTTCATATATGGGAGCCTAAAAGAAAAATCCAGTAGCTTGTCAGTGACAATTTGTTTGAAAAATGTTTGAAGGAAAGAAATATAGATATATTGAAAACATATCGAATTTTGACTTATCTTTGGACGTTTCGGGACCGAATCTGCTCCCGTTCTCAACATGAAAATGCAAAATATTTCTCTTTGGAAGTTGTGCTGGATATAGTTCGACACTTTTCAGTGTCATACTGATGTTGGCATATGTGATGTCAGTCTACAAATGAGTTTTAGGATGTTTTAAACATTTTATCTTGAATCTACCATTTTCATGTTCAGTTTTCAGTAGTGAACTATTGACAACTACTGACAATGTGGGGATTTTGTTCTGAAAAATGAAGAAAGAATACCTAATTCCAGGAAAATGTATGGGATTTCCGTATAAAATTTTCTGAGTACTAAATTTTAGGTTAGGAACAAGATATCAAGAATCGGTTTTCGCGAGCTTCTTCAGGCGTCATTAAGCATCCTTTCCATGAAGAAAAAATCATACCGATGCATTTGATTTTTTTGAGAAAATCAACTATTTCTGTCTGAATGTCGAAAAAATCCCTCTAGCAGCAACATGTGCAACTAACAAAACTTCAAATATTATAAAATTTGTAGCCCAAGAATTGCTCTTTTCAACTTGTTCAAGTTTGTCAAAATCGGCTAAGCCGTTTTGAAGATACAGGGTGTTTTTTACAGGAACTTTCGAATACCCCCCACCACTTTATTTTTAGAGATACAGCAGAAATTGTCGAACGAAAAAGGTTCACATTTTCATCGACAATAAAAATCAGGTATTATTTTGTTAGGTTAATATAGCGGAATTCACCTAAAAATCACTTTTTAGATTCAAGATTGCAGTTACGCACCCTAGCGGTCATTTGAGAAACTTGAAAATATTTTTCAAGTTTTTCTCTTGAGCGTGTTAGTCATACAATTTTTTGCCGCAAGTCCCTACGATGGATAGTTTCCCAGATATAGTACCTCGCAATCTTAGTTGGCCACCCTGTACAATAATGAGCAATACCAAAATATCAATCAAAGTAATTGTGGACGTCTATGTTTAGAATTCCTTTTTAATGAGACCAAATAACTCGATCATTGTGCATCAGTCATGTCTCTGATTGTGACGTTGAAAGGTCGTACATCTACAATCTCCATAGACTTTTTGACACCACTTCAACTCGATCCAGACTCTGATTTCGGACTAGCATTGTTGGGATTCCATTCATACAACAGTATTCCAAATATCGACAAAGGATCAAAGTTTTATCTGCAAGATAAGACCAAGGCGGGAAAGATCATCGATATTCCCGAAGGTTCATACGACATTGTGGACATTGAGACATTCATACGCAAAGAATTGGGCATCTCAAGTGCAAAGGACGTTGATGATATATTCTCGTTAAAGACCAACAATAATACACTGAAGTGTGAGATTTCGAGCCAAAGGTTTGTCATCGATTTTCGTCCAAAGGATAGCATAGCTCAAGTCTTGGGATATTCAAATAGATTGTTGAACGCCCAACAAGTCCACACTTCCGATTTGCCGGTCAGCATAACCAAAGTGAGAACCATTCACATTGATAGCAACGTTACTGCTGGAGCTCTCTACAACGACAGACCATCACATACGATCTACGAGTTTGCAGTTGCAGTCGATCCTGGTTACGCCATAGACAAGACTCCCAGAAATCTAATCTATCTACCTATAGTCAGCAGGCGGGAATTGCCCATTATTACACTCCAGATTTTAGACCAAGATTTCAGGCAGGTGAATTTTAGAGGTGAAGGAATCATCATAAGATTGGAATTGAAGAAACTCGCAAGATGGTACTAGTGTTTGATTACTCCTATAAATCAGATAATATAACATCATCAGCAACATCATCGGCACCAGTTCTCTCGACACCGTGCACCAAAGCAGTCGTGTCTTCGAAGAGCAGCAGCAGCAGCAACAGAAAAACATTGACATTATCCAGTGTCCTGTTTCTGAAATCATTCAAAGACTACAATGTTGTTAGCACCCGTGTTCGACGTTTTCCGCAAACCCAGACTCGACGAAAGCATCACTAAAGTGGAATGGCGTACCTATTATCCATATGTGAAATCATTCGAGAACAATGATGTCATCGATATAACGTTTAATCAAGCAAATTCGTGGTTGGCCATGTTTGAGGGCATCATTACCATCAAGGGTAAATTGAAGGTGACCGGTGGTGGTACTGGTACATCAACCCACAATGCTGGAGCTTATCTCTTTGATTCCTGCACCTATGAATTATGTAATAAAGAATTGGACACTGTCAGATATCCTGGAATAACGAGTACTGTGCGAGGATACTTGTGTTATACACCTGAAGACTCACGTCATCTAGCCATAGCAGGCTGGAACTATCCCAATGCTCCGATCCTCAACACCGATGGTACGTTTAGCATGAACATTCCACTGGAACATTTGTTTTCCATCTTCAATGATCATCAAGTGGCAACGTGGAGCAAGCAGTCAATCCGTTCAGTGAGAGCTCGCAATGATGCCAATAGTGTGAAGGTTGTCGAGAGAGCGAATACTGCTTTGCAAGGATCTCCTCAGACTTGGAGTATTGCTAAAATAACGATAGAAAGCATCAATTTGAAAGTGCCACATCTCACACCCAACGATGACATAAAGTTGCAGTTGTTGACACGTATCAAAGCAGATGAGTCTATGATGATACCGTTTCGCCGATGGGAATTGCACGAGCTACCAGCACTCACACAAGGATCTACCATAGAAATCTGGTCCGTAAAGACATGTTCTGCATTGGACAGTCCAAGATATGTTATAGTATTTTTCCAAACGAAAAAAGCCGATAATTTGCATGAAGATGTCACCTTGTTCGATAATGCCAACATCAAATCCATACGATTGGCTCTGAATAGCGACTATTATCCGCAAGAACGAATGCTATTGGACTTTTCCAAAGACCAATATGCCGACGCCCACTTCAACTATACAGAGTTTAACAAGAGCTACCATAACTGTCAAGAAAAGCGCTCTCTAGTAAACTTTGCCGAATTCAAATCCCGACCAATGTTTGTTATCGATTGCTCGAGGCACCATCTGGGTCTGAAGTCGTCCACAGTTGACATAAAGTTGGACATTGAAGCGACTACAGGCTTCCCTCCCGACACCAAAGCCTATTGCATCATCATTCACGATCAAATCATGGAACATCTCCCACTCAGCGAAATTGTTCGAAATATTGCCTAGGTGGGTGTTGCTGCATCAGTCAGACGTCAGTTCGCTTCGAAGAGTCATGGAGATCGCACTGGTTGACATTCAAGGGTTCACGGTTGATGGTGAATTCATTCCAAAGGAAATGACCATTCGCATAGGCAAAAAGACGAGTCATTTTCTATTCAAGCCATCTGTAGAATTTTCCAGTTTGAACAAAGAAGATAAAAAGATGGCAAATCACCTGGAATGCTATGTGCATGGTTTGAGATATTCCAGTGGTTATGTGGATTTGAATGAGCTGGATCAAATACTACGAGATAACCTGCAGCAGACAAACATCATCTACGTAAGAGGCCATCAAAAGATTCAGTTTTTGCAGCGAAAATGTGCAGAGTTGGAGATGACCAATCACATTGTTAATTTGTAAGATTTTGACAATTCTTGGTGGCAGCCAATAACGTTCCTACAATCCATTCCACCCTGCATGAATCATTTCCATGGAGGAAGGTTCCAGTGCAGTCTCCACAATGTCGATACTTCATATAATTGGTTATGTAATTTATTGCCAAAATAAAAAACTATATATCGTAATTTCAGAGTTTTTATTCATCACATCCCTTATTTCTCAGTATAATGAAAATAACATGTGAGATTGAAATGAGTGAACATATTAGTGTACAACAAAGTGTCAAAATTGCAATGATATTAACAGAATCTTGATCATCATCTAATTTCGCGGGTGATTTCTTCAATGTAAATGTCTGCCAGTCTCCCATTTTGCCGTCACTGCCATCAGAAAACGATAATTTCAATTTGTAGTCGATGGTGGTCCCATTGACTCGAGGCATGTCGATTGAATATACAGGTAGTTTGTTATCGTTGACATACATTCTACTCATCAGCTTCCAATCACACTGTTGTGTACGATTCACATCAAAACATACGGCTGCATTCCTCGTATTGTACGGTATGTTTGTGTAGAAGACGTTGTTGCGCAGAGCTGTCAATAGAATGAAGCTTGCTTTCAGTATCGCCATCTAGTAGCTGTGTTGGTTGGATTCTTCTCGATGTAGGGAACGTTGCAACTGAACGTCTTGGTTCTGTGAACACCTCGTCCCAAACACTCAATTGCTCGAAATCTTTGAACAAACAAACTTTCTGCTCATACAATTGGATGTCTGCACTGAGCTTTCTAACTTTCAACCCAAATTCTTCTAGTGCACGTCTGTATTCATCAGAAGACATGATACAACTGTTTTTTACATCCATACCTTCAACTAATATCCATCCAATCTCTCTCTTTCTTTCTCTCTCTCTTCTTCTCACTTTTTTACCCTCTCACTCTCTCTTACCCTCACTACCCATCCCAATGATACACAGAAATTTTCAATAATTATTTTATTAATGATAGATAGGCAGCATATATTATATTTACATTAGTAGCCAGGACAAGTATTACATTTTCATAAGAAAAAACATATTCTGACGAAAAAAAAAGTCATTTTTCATTGTCTTCTTTTGCAAACTACATTTGTAAAGATGATATCATGCTACTAAAATCTGAAACATATTGTCAAAGTAAGTCAAGAATCAATATCTGTATATTCATCACCAGAATCGATGAATCTCTCATATCACTGATAATGTGAATCATGTAAATCCATATCACATTCATATCGTTCTTTAAGCCCGAATAATAATTCTAAATCTAAAACAGAGGAGTGTAAGTGTAGGTGTATGGTTTTTTTTTCTTTATAAATGTTTGATGAGTTGATTTACATGAAAAAATTACTCTTTTGCCTGTGTATGACTCCATGGCAATGTGTCAAACGAACCTGGAATCAAATACCGTTTATCATCTTTTGGAGCAATTTTTGATTGTTGAATGCTAAACACATTGTGGGCATATGAACGGATAGTACGTTGAGACACTGTTTGTGCTCCGAAATTCTTCAAACAATTCAAATAATCTTCGAACCCAATTTTATTCTTGACAACATTAGTTTTCACCCCTTTCGATTTTTTGACAACCTCACCCCCTTGTACTTTATATGCATACATTTTCGAACGTAGTCCTACGAAATTAGTAACGATTTTCCCATTTGCTTCATCTTTTAATAAACCCAACTTTTTTTTATTGACTAGTGGCATATTATATTCATTATCTGGAGCATATTCAGATGTGTCAAATTGAGAGAGATCAGCCTTTATAACTTCTTCATATGCATCATCACATTTCAATTCATATATGAAGCTGTCTGTATCCATATATAACAATTTACACCTTTCAATACCCATTTTCGGAAGCATATACTCATAGTGAAATTTGTACATACACAATTTTGATAAATCTAAAATGGCCATTCCTACGTATAGAGGTTTATTAAAAATTATTTCGGTTTTCTGCATTTCTATGGCAATCAAGTTTTCCTCAAAAATTGTTCTACCATGGAATCGTGGACTAGCTATGAGATTTCTGGCTCCATAACGTCCCTGCCATGACCTTACTAGTTTCACTTATCTATGCTTTCGTATGTTTTCCATCGTCTTACCGAAAACTGCATTATTCATCAGTTTATAGAGATTTTTCTCAAATTCATTTGTTGCGGCAGTCCTCAAAGAAGTATTCAGATCTATATATGATTTGAGCCGAAAAGATTGCCTGAATTTCAAAATTTTGTGGATTTTCGTCAGTTTCAGTCCGTTTGCTAAACATTGTTTTTAATTTCTATAGTGTAAAATATAATCTTTTTTGTCGTAAAGTGTTGTCATTAATTTTGGTAATTTTGAGCCGGGTGGTATGCGATGTTCAGCAGCAAATGAAAAGTCTTTGTGATTGTTATGTAAGTCGCGAGGATATTCTAAGTCTACTTGTAAAATATATCCCTCAAGAGCATCATCGGCAATATTCATTACGTTGAAATTCTCAACGTTTTCCATCCATGAGGAATCTCCGAATGGTAAAGACTCTGACATTGCCCAACCGTACAAATTATTTACATCTAAATACATGAGATATTTTGAAGGTTTATTGGAATCATATTCAGACATATACTTGTTATTAGCTTCTGAATACCTACCACTACAAACAGAAATACCACCACGTAATGCCTTCTCGATGAACATGATTTTATCAACGTCATCCAATAATTCCAGTTTGCATTTGGTGTACTTTAACATGGCATCCCATGTATATCCAGGCATGGTATAGTACCATGCTGGATCTGACCCATAAGTTGTCCTACATTTCTGCCGGAATTTCTCGAAAACAGCGGTCAACAACATAACGTCTGTTTTTAAATATAAGTCAAAATATTCCCCTAAATTTTGGATTTTGAATGATGACCATACCTTTTGAGCATGGGCGTACTGCTCATCGCTAATGTGTTCATCATTCGATTTATTATAAAAATATTTCTTTGTAGGTAATTCAGTATCATTCAATTTTTTCAAACAACTTGTAATCGTAGGGAAAGACACCCTTCTTGGTGAGAAGGTTGAATGTATCATCGTTCAAATGACTGAATTCTTTTTTCAAAATTTCAAAATCTTTTCTTTCCATGATTGAAGATAATTTATCTAAGGATGTACCCATGAAGCGAAAAGAGTCAATAAATCGGAATTTGATGTATGTATTGTCATCATGTAAAGTGAAAGATATGTACTTTTCCATGTTTATTGGAAGTATGCTCATACGGCCCTTTTTACTCAATTGACTGATCATGAAATGTGAATCATATCCTATCAGGTTGTGAAATGCAATTGGAACAACAAAGAGTTTCTTGAAATTTATGTTACAGGGTGCTTGATGCGCCCACCCCCTGAACTCGCCTGAAAAGTGATTATGATCAGCTACGATAATGTGTTTCTCCCTGAATGGTTTCTCACAAATATGACAGATTTTTGCTTTGCATTTGTCAGGACTAACAGTCATTGGCACGATTGTTCCGATTTTAGATTGCACGATTTCAGCTATCTTCGACATTTCATTCGCAAACCAATCCATACAATCTTCACCCCTATGGCTATTGAAAAACGACAAGGAATCATCGAAATCACATTTAAAATAATAGCCTGCACTATGAGCCCCATGTTTCTGATATTTGCTTGTTTTTGATGAAACCATATCATCCACATGTTCTAATTGACATTCAAAGTCTGCATAAATTATAAAGGGAGTGGTTTGTTGGTAGGTGAAATTTTTGAATTCTATGTGATCATATTTTGGAAATGAAACTTTGCATTGGTTCAATTCAGAACACAGCATTTCATGATCAATCAATTTTTGTTCACATTGAAAATAATTCATGCATCTTTCACAAATAAATTTTTTACCATTATGTTTATTCACTTGGCTTGATATTAATCTAGACATATCTTGAATCAAACAGTAATGGTATTTGATGTCAGAATCTTCTTCATCAATCGGAGGAGCCTCATAATCATTTAATTTTGGATAATATTTGTTTTGAATTAGCAATAGATTAACGTGCCTTTCTAATTTATTTTTTGTAAGTCTGGCTGGCACCACAGTATAATATGATTTTTCCTTGACTAAATTCAACTCTAATGTGTATACATTCACGGAAATGTTATTGTCTTTTTCAAATTTTGGAATTTGACGTAGAGACATGGGTGCATCTAAATCTACTGTTTTCAGAACTGTATTGTAATATGGATATGAAGAAGTCCGTTCCCTATTTGTTTTCGCTGGGTAGAAGGCACTTATGATTGACCAATAGAAACATGCCGAGTCAGTATTTTTTATATTCAAACATGCTTGCTTTTTAGAAATTTGTTCTGGCAGTCTAATGAAGGATGAACCATTTCCCATTTCAAGTTTGTTAATATTAACTTCCATTGATATTATTTTATGCAAAGCCCACCCAGAGTCACGTTCTTGAAATTCGCTTGA